CAGCTGTGCTCCCCTTCATCCTGATTTACCAAGCACAGTGGCTCACTCAGTGCTCCTCACAGAGGGCTGCAGGTGATGAGTCAAGGAGAGCATCCTGGGGCCAGACAAGTGTGGGGAGGAGCCTGTTCCTGTCTCTCCCTGAGGTAAATATATAACCACAATCTATATATAAAATGAAGGAAAGTCCAAGCAATAACCCCCAAGACCTTCCCTGGCAGATGATGCCCCTTGGCCGGGGAAAGCAATGAGCCAAGAGTGATGCACCAGCCAGAGGGTCAGTGCTGAGGCAGACACAGCTGTGAGGAGGGCAGAGAATTGCATGGAGTCTGACAGCAACTGAGCTTTCACCGGGTTCAGGGCCACAGAGATGCTCCATGGGGAACAACCATGGTGCCAGCAAGAGCAGAGCTGTGGACCTGGATTGCACTGTCCATGTCCCATTTGGTTATATTGTGTTGTTATAGTCAAAGTGGCTCCCTGAGCGCAGGTATCCCCCTTTTGCACATTATGGAGCCTGTTTTTTCCAAAGTCACCTGGAGAAGCTGATAAAGCATCTTCCTTGTCCAGTCCCTAACTGGGGGTTGTAGAGCCCACACGCTGTGGGATTGCAGATTTTGATAAAAAAATGTGGCTATGGGGTACAATGTGAACTTCAGCATGGTAGAACCAGATTGCACAACGTTCTCCAGAATACAACAGCTCCTCCAATATCTCACCAGGGTGCCAGCACTGCACAAATCCTTGAGCTCCCTTCCTTGGCCTACAAGACCCAAACCACAACACAGATGTCCCTGACCTGGTTGTGAAACACCTTGCTCTGAGGCAAGAGTGTTGCACCCAAATGTGGGGAAAGGGCCGACATGCTGGCAGCTCCTTGCCCTGCAAAATCAGCAGAGGTGAAAAAGTCTCCATGTGCACATTTGCAGATAAGAAGACGTGATCCAATGATCCATGTGGAAGTTCTGCCTCATGTCAGCTGATATATTGGCAATTTAGATCAGATTTAGAAAGTGGGGGAAAGAGCCACCTTTGCTGTAGCACAGATGCAGCTTTGTACAGTTTAATTTATTTACAGTCATACATTTTTGTCTTATATCTCCTTGACATGAGGCTCAAATAAATAATTCTGGGTGCATGTTTGCCTGTGCAGCTGCAGACATTCTGCAAACTTCCTCAGCCCCCTTTCTGTGTAGATTCTGAGCCTGACTAAGTTGTGCCTGCCTCTGAGAAGGTACAACTGAAATACTTTCATTTCTGGTCATAACCTTGCAGTTTTTACCTAGAATCTCCCTGTTGTCTCTGTGAATGTTCACACTTCTGAACATGAGAGGGCAGGGGACACATAACTTCCACAATCCCCAGTGATAAACTCCTGTAATTTTTCTCAGCCAATATAACACACTTCCCACTGGGAGGTACTCTGTACAGGGCAGTAAATGGCATTGCAAAATCCCAAACATCCTGGTCACTGCCTTTCTGACCTGCCTGGTGTTGTCTGGGTCACTTATATGTCTGAAAGCTTTTGTTTGAATGCAGTTTTCAGACCCCAGACAATTTGTGGGCAGAGACTGGACTGGAAATAATGGGGACATTTTTGTTCTGCTCAGGGTTATGTGTTATTTTTTTATTAAATGTGGTGCTTTTTAAACCTGGATGAGAGTTGAGGTCCTTTCTGTGTGCCCTTTTCTGAGTGTCTCACTGGGGACAGGAGAGATCTTGCTGAAAAGAAGGTAATAAAAATCCCAGGATGGAATCCTCTGGGGAGAAGATGGGTGAACATGAAGAACCTCCTTCCCACCCCGATGAGCTCTTGCACCAGCTTTGTATCCAACCCTCCTGCCGCAGGACACTGCCCGTGCTTCCTCCTTCTCAGCTCCAAAACTTTGGAGAGGTGTTCCCCGGCTTTTGTTGGGACATGTCCGTAACCCGAAGGGCGGAGGGACTTGTGGGAGGGTGGGAAAGGCTGAAAGGGATCAGAGAAGGGATGCGCAGCTCCTGCAGGATGCCTGGACACGAGGCACTGCCGCCATCTAGTGACTTGGGATTCGCCGGCAGAGCCGCTGGTCCACGGCGCTCTCGGGGATGCTCTGCATGGAAAACGGGCCGGGGACCCCCACCCAGACATGTACAGGGGCACACTTTGCTGGAGAGGATGGAAAAACTGCTCAGCAAACACGAAGTTGAGAGTTTGGCTGGGCTTGTCTATGAGTGCTGCAACATTTGGGGCTGAGACATGTTATTTTAGGAGAATTGGTGCAAAAATTGAAAAAATTTGAATTTTTGCTGTTATACATGTCTTCCTGCTTCCTCATCCTCATCATGCTTTGAGATGCCTTTGGAAGGTGGAGAGGTTGAGGAAATCCCCCTGAAGGGATGAAAAATGATGCATTCCAAAAAAAGAAAAGAAAAAAAAAGAGAGAGAAAATAAAAGGGAAAGTCTGATAGCAGCTTGAGCTGGAGTTTGCAGCTACAGGTGATTCCTGACATATGAGTCCAGAGACCACGAAGTGCTCAGGAATGGGCAAGGTCCAAACTGGAATTGCAAATCCCAGGAGAAACAGGGAGGCAGTGAGTAAGTAAGGCCAGGTTAATTAGAGGCTATTACATTTTCTAGCTCTTCATCTGTTGCTGCAGTGGATGAGTCCTGACAGGCAGCATGGGCACACCCCTCCCCTCCTTTTCTTAAAAATTCAAAATAATATTAAAGAATCATAGAATGAATCATGGAATCATGATGGTTTGGGTTGGAGGGGACTTTAGAGATCATCTGGTTCCAACTCCCTTGCTATAGGCAGGGACACCTTTCACTAGACCAGGCTGCTCAGAGCTCCCCCCAAAATGAAATGCCACTCTGAACTTGAGTTCATGGAAATTGTATGGCTGAGCATGGGAAAACCTCTCCAAGCAAATGGCAGTGTCACCCTGGTCTGTGTCCCAGGCTGTGTTCTGTGCTCACATGTGACTGCCACATCAGCAGTCCCTGCACCCCAGCAGTAACCACTGACCTTGATAAGGAGGGTTATCACTGCTGATAACCAGGGCGTGGACAGACCTGTGGCAGCAGCCTCTTTGCAGATGCAGAGCAGCAGGTATCCTGCTGTAATAATTTTATTTTTTTTACAGGGCTCCTGCATCCCAGAGGGATGTAATGCTGAAGGAATCATCAATCTCTTTGTAAGCTCTTCACTTGGAAAAAAAATCAGATGTATTAATGAAGTAATTTCATAGCTAAAACATACATTAAAAGAGTTGGACACACGGTAAGTGAATGCCCAGAGACACAAGGTCCCATGCTGGTGGGAAAAGGTGAGGTCTCATTGAAGCGTGCTGGGTGATTCTTGCAAAGATGTACATTGGTGATATTAAATATTAAATTGGTAATAAAGACTATCAGCCTGTGCTTCTGGAAGATCAAATCTTCCTATGGATTTGATCCTGGTTTTTTTCTAGCCTGAATCTGAGCTGAGCTCAAAGTGTGCTCTGCCTCTGCATGAGCAAGGAAGGAAAATCCTGAGCTCACCTTGGCACACCATCATAGAAAAGGGGAGAGGTTACAACAGAGGAGGCAAATCACATATCCTGCAGTTTTTGCTATTTCCTTTATTTCTAATATTTCAGATGTTTTTTTCCAGAGATACTACTTGGAGATTTTTGTGCCAGCTACCACTGGAGCATGTTGAGGAGCTGAGACTGTTGTGGAGACATCAGCTACTCCCCTCAGCATCTAAGTAAAGCATCACTGGGAGCTTCCAGTGATTCCAGGGATGGTGATGGGGAGGTTTCACCATCAATTTAAGCCTGACCAATCCCTGAAGAACAAGGTCCAGCCTTGCTGTTTTATCCAGAACCTTCTGAAAAGACCTGGATCCACATCTGGAATGGGGACAGACCTCCATTACAGGGTGAGCACCCCACTGCACACCAGTATGCCAAGAGGATCTGGTGACTACAGGTACAGGGAGAACTACGGGGCCACAGCAGGTTTGGGTGGCTCAGGCTTCATCTTTGCAATGTCATGAGGAATACTGAGCACAGAGATGGTGGGGAGATGCAGGCTGGCTGGTGATATAATTTATATAGTTATAGATAAATAGCTCCCTTCCTAGCTGATTTCCTAGAGGTGTGCTCTGCTCTGGCCCACTGTTTGAGCTCAGATATATTATTAAAACACTTCTGTTTGCTTCCCGCTCTGCTACACCTGCCCTGTTCAACCTTCAGCAACACCACCAGAAGCAGCTCTGTCCAGAGCCTGAAATTTACCTACTGCCTTCACCTAAAGAGCCTGCAGAAAGAGTTTTTTGAGATGTTGGGTGTAGAAAAGTAGTTTTCCACACCACTGCCCAGGGCAGTGACTGGACCACCCTCCACCAGATATTTTTCTCCTTGCTCCAGTTAGAACCATGAGAATAAAGAGAGAGAGGCAAGGTATTTGGGGCAGACTCCAGTGCTTTGGCAGGTGGTGTGTCCTTTGCTGCAGATGTGGGCTCTGTGGCTCACAGCAGGCTGTTATCAGCCATCCTTTGCACCTCAGCTCCTGCCTGCCTGGGCTGAAGTCCTTTTGCTTCCTCCAGCACTCAGCTGCGCCCTGCGTTTGTGCAGCCACCGGTCCTGTGCTGACTTTGCCCTTCAAAAAATGCTGATTATATTAAAATAAAAAGCAGCAAAGGGATGCACAGCCCTTCCCTGCGAATAACTGGATTTATTTGCATGTTTCCTCCCTCCCCCGTGCCTCAGTTTCCCCACTGATGTGACAGGGCTGTTGGGAGGCTGAGCAGAGCCGAGTTCCAGACTGATTGTGCTTGCAAGCGACTTCTGGGGTTTCCTGACTCAAACCCTTCTTTAAGCAGCTTCAATCTCAAATTTAATTCCAAACTCATGGTTTAATTAATCAGGTCTCTCCATGTTTCCCCACTCGAAGTCGGAATGTCTCCCGGGTTGCACAAGAGACCGCAAGGTCTCCATGCCCTGTGCCTGATCACCCTCAGGTTCAAACCGGTCTCCTAATATTTAACCCGATTTCCCCCTCGCTGCAGCTCGCACCTGCTGCCCCTTGTCCCGGCTCCTGGCACCGGCAGAAGCAGCGGGGCTCCGTCTCTCCCGCTTATCCCCATTCCAGGCTTGCTGCCGGCCGTCTCTGCCGCGGCACCGGGATCACCGGTGAGGGGACAATTTTCCGTGAGCACAAGCGCAAAAGGTGGCCGGGCTGGAAGAACAAGCTGGACCTTGTTCTTGGGCACTTCCCCGCCGCGCTGAGCCGCGCTGAGGGGGCAGCGCTGCCTGAGGGGGCACAGCCGGGTGGGCACAGCCGGGCGGGCACAGGGGCAGGGGGCGACCAGGCCGCTCCCAGCAGCGCCGGCGGGATTTGCGCCGGTCCGGAGGATTTAGCTCAGCCCTTCCTACACTGCGTCAAATCCTGTCCTTAGTTTAACCCCTTTGAACAAAATCAGCCTGCTCTGAAAACGTAGCGATCTCTTTTTTAATTTAAAGCTCCAGCCTTTGCAAACAGCCCACAAAAGGTTCATGACGTGCTTCTGCAGCGCCTTGTGCGCCGTCAGGGCTTTTCCTCAGGCGGGAATGTCTCCCCGGGCAGGGTAGAGGGAAAGCCGGACAAGAAGGCTCCGACCTTGGCAAAAATCCCAGGCAGCCTTTCCACCTCCTGCAAAATGCCGAGAGCCTTGCACTGACCCCGGCTGCTCCAGCTCCCTGTGGGAGGAGGCGGTTTGTCCCCTGGGGAGTTCTGTCTGCCCACAGGGGAGGTTTTGGAGGCAGTTGTTTTGGGGTGAGGGCCTGTTCCTGGTGTGAGGTTTGTGTGCCAGCTTTGTGTTTCTGGCAGCGATTGCGGTGCCTCCCCAGCAGCCATGGAGTACATCAGCACACGGGGAGGCACGGGGGCCGTGGACTTCGAGGGAGCCCTTTTCTCTGGCTATGCCCCCGATGGCGGCCTCTTCATGCCCCAGCGCATCCCCTCGCTGGACAGGGACACCCTGCGAAGGTGGAGCAGCCTCTCCTACCCTGAGCTGGTGAAGGAGCTGTGCTCCCTCTTCATCCCGGCCGAGCTGGTCCCACGGAATGTGCTCAGTGGTGAGCTGATTGGGGAGCTGCTCATGGGGATGTGGACGAGGATTTGGGGGGTCTGGATGCATCTGTCTGCCTTTCCCATCCTCTTCACAGCCCCCTAGAGAAGGAGCCTGCTGCACCTTGCCTGCTCCTTTCTGTAGCCTGCTCTCCTCTGGCACCTTGCTGGCACTAATGGAGAAGGTATCCCTTGTTTAAAAATAAGGGTTCTGGTGACAGCAGCAAGCTGATGTTGTGGCCCTACTCGCTGCTGGCCCTCCCTCCAGGGCTTTCTGCTGCTTCACGCTTGCCTTGACGTGTGTTTTTAAATGTTTTTAACAGTTATGAGCTATCTTTTCCACCAGAGGGCAGCTGCAACCTCTGTCTCGGCAGCACATTGGTATAAAACTCGGATTTCTTGTATTTTATGTTTTAATGTAGTTTTCTGATGGTGCGGCATGTCCCCTGGGGTTCCTTAGCACAGAGTTATCAAACAGCATGAAGCTGGGCTGGTTCATTCAGAATAACCACAAATCACTTTTGGGGTATCTGTCACTGCACAGAGCCTTTGGTTGTGCAGAAAGGTACCCAGGAGCACAAAGAGCACAGATGCAAGAAGCCATGGGTCAGAAAAACACTCCTTTCATTTAACAGGCTATTTAACCATTTTCCCTCTAGAGTTGATTGACAAGGCCTTCAGCAGATTCAGACACAAGAATGTTGTGCATCTGTCCAGGCTGAAAGATGGGCTGAATATTTTGGAGCTCTGGCATGGTGTTACATATGCATTTAAGGACTTGTCCTTGTCCTGCACAGGACAGTTTTTACAGTATTTCTTGGAGAAAAGGCAGAAGCATGTCAATATCCTGGTGGGTGAGTATGACTCCTTGGAGGTAAGGTTCTTGGGCAGGCCTTTACCTTGAGAGCCACCATCCTACAGCCCTCCCCAAAGATGCCCCAGGATGGTATTGCCTCATAATCTCCAGGCAATGCCAGAGTGGCTGCTCTGGCCAAAAGCATCTCATGGAGCATCTCTACATCTTTTTCTTAAAGTGCAGTGGTGCAGGTTTGATTCACACAGCAATATTTTGCTTTTCTTGGTGCTTCCTCATTTTGAAACAGGGACTTCAGGGGACACGGGGAGCTCAGCCATCGAGAGCGTGAGAGGGCAGAAGAACTTGGACATCTTTGTTCTGCTGCCCAAGGGGCTCTGCACCCAGATACAGGAGCTTCAGATGACCACTGTCATTGAAGACAACGTCCACGTCTTTGCTGGTTGGCACTGCTCTTTGGACTGTCCACTTTATGGCTCTGCTGTATCAAAACCTTGACCCTAAAAGTCTGAGGGGGCTGCTCAGTGGGATTTGCAGCTTTAGCAGCTGCAGCCAGCTGGGTCATTGCTATCACCATGCCCAGACACCTGGCTAACAGGAGACAAAATCCCCAGTTTGACAACCAAGCAGTTTAAGGCTTCTTTTTCTCCTGGCCATAGATCAGAGCTGCCTCCATGCGGGTGGTTGGTGTTTGGCTGAACTAAATTCAGCACCATTTTTTGTCACTAAAGGGATTTGGAGCCACCCCTTCCCTCTGTCCTTTCACCTTCATGGGTGAGCCACCTCCTGCCACCGTGCCATCCCCGTGGATGGGCATCACCACTGGGTGCTTGAGCTGCTTGAGTTCCCATGGGCTCCTCTGCTCAGCCTGGTCTCACCTTGGCATCTCACAGGGGGATGCAGCATTTGCCTTCCTGGCAGGTTTATATTTGGTAGAAGCAGCAGCCCAGAGTGCTGTGTCTGCAGAAACCACCTGACAACCACAGGCCACCACTCAGGCCCTGGTTCACGCAGCCCTCAGGGCAGATGTGCAGCTCCTGGCCACAGCAAACCCCAGGGCTTGAGACCAGCCCTATTTCTGAGCAGAAACACCTCGTGCCTGATGCACTGCTGCTGGCAGATCTAATCTTTCCTTTCTCCTTTTGACAGCTCATGGGAACAGCGATGAAATCGATGAGCCCATCAAGGAACTGTTTGCTGATGTTGATTTTGCTGGAAAATACAACCTGATGAGCTTGAATTCTGTCAATTGGTCCAGGATTATGGTGCAGATTGCCCACTACTTCTATGCCTACTTTCAGTGTGCCCCATCCCTGGGTACCACCCAGCTGCCCATGGTGGAAATTGTTGTGCCAACGGGAGGAGGAGGAAATATCACGGGTAAAGGGAAAAAGAGATGGGTTAGATAAGAGAGAGAGAATGCTCTGATCTATGCACCAAAAGCACTTTGCAGATACTGGGTATTGCTATTTATTAAAACACCCACTCTCTGGTAGGATTTCTTCAGAACCACTTATATTTTATTAGTCATGTATGGTTATTACTCAATTTAGGTGTCACTGATGATTTGCAAGGTGCAGAAAAACCCAAACCACTCTTTGATGATGACTGTAACTATCTTGAGGATGGGCACATTGGGAGAGGACAGAATGTGTTTGATGCAGAAAAGAGGGAAAATGCTGTGGCTCTGATTTCTTAAGTGAGACATTAACAGAGGTGTGGAGTCCTGCCTGGGCCTCTCTGGTTTGCATGGTAATGCATGGTCAGGACAGCCACTCTTAATTGCATAATCTGGCCTTCTAAATGAGAGTCTTTGATTGCCTCAGTCCCAAAATAGGTGTAGAACTGTTTTATGAAAGCAATAAAGGATTTTACATATTCACTGCCCTTCCGGGCTGCCATCAGAGAGGCAAAAGCCCAGAATCTTCATCTCTCCTGCTTGCCTGTCAGGTGCCTGAACTCTCTGCCCCCTGCCTGTCCACCAGCAAGAGTGGAGATGAGCAAGGGTCTGTGTTCAGTGGCAGGTGGAGCATTGCATCCCTGGATTTTATAATCTGTGCTCTACCAAGCCCCTGAAGTCAGACATCTCAGAGTCCACTAGGGAATATAATTTCTGCCTGCTTCTGAACTAGATGCTCAATCAATTTGTAGGATGACTTCTTTGCTAAATCTCCTTCACATATTTCTTTATCGAGCACTCATGCATTTTTTTCACTTTTTTTCCCTAGCTGGCTGTATTGCCCAGAAAATGGGTCTCCCCATTCGACTTGTTACTGTGGTGAACAGCAATGACATCATTCATAGGACTGTTCAACATGGAGATTTCTCACTGGCACAGAGTGTGAAGGCTACCTTAGCTTCAGCCATGGATATCCAGGTATGTAGTGAACTGGCCAAAATGCAAAAATAGAAAATATTGCTGTTTTTTTTTTTAATCTTGTACTCTTTGTTCTGCCTGTAAAATTCTGCCACCCAATGATGCATTCAGAGGTGTGACTCCTATTGACCATATATGCTACAGACTGCTGAGCTGAAACAGATGAAACTCCTTCTCCCTCACTTCTCAGGGTCTGACTTTCTGATCTTTGTTGTTGAGTTCTGGATTTCTGGGGATTGTTCTATGCAAACTTAGCAAGACAGGGACATTTCTACAACATGAGACAACTAGAGAACAAAAAATGCCATCATGTCTTGAGGGTTTTGTTGATGCTTCTGAAAAACTCCACAAAGAGCAAGAAGAGAGACGAGGAAGGAGGTGGAGAAGTCCAGAAGAAATGCCTTGTTCATGGCTGCCTGCAGCTTGCTCAGAGGAAAACAAGTCCCAGCAGGCAGGGAAAGGCCTCAGAAAGAAAAGCCATGGAGGTACAGAAACCAAACACCTGGAAGCACACACCTCCCCTTTCATTCCCACCCTGGGATCCCCAGGGATTGGATCTGCTTCCAAACAAGTGATCAAAGTGGGAAACCCTTGGTGTTGTATCTCTGTGGCCTTAAGCTACCTGGATTTTCCAAAAGCTGTTCAAACACACTGGGAGGACCTGGCAGTCTGGAGGCACTGCCATGCTTTGCAGCCACTAAGTCCCTGTGCTCCTTTCAGCAGGCTGTGCTCTGCAGCTTGGCTTTCCTCCTGAGCCAGGAACTTGTGGGGCTCCAGGGATAACTGGGTTCCTCTTCAGCCCATCTCCCTTCAGTAGCACTGGTCAGCAAGTGCCAGACTTTGGGATCTTGGGGGCAGAGTCAGGTGAGGAGATTTTCTGACATTCCTGAGGAGCTAGATGAGTGAATCCCTCTGCACATCCCTCCCCATGCTGCATGGGATGTCACTGTTCCCTCACATCTGAAGCATCCATGCAAATATTCCCATAGCTAAAGAGAACATTTGTTCTGGAGGGGAATTCAGGAGGTCTCTGGTTGGGACTTGTTTAAAGCAGATTCAGCCTTGAGGTCAAGTGGGATTGCTCAGGGCTTTGTCCATTTGGGTGTTGGAAACCTTCAAAGATGGAGAGTGCACAGCCTCTTTAGGTTGCTGCTTCTGCAGACTAAGATAAGGCAGAGAAAACTTTCCTGTTAGATGCTGCCTGAAGAGTTGAAGGTGAAGCAGAAAGTCTGGTGTGGATGAGCCTTGCAAGGAGCAATCCCAGGACAATCCCAGCAGACACTGAGCTTTTGCAGCCAAGCAGGGGCTGTTCTTTGTCCCTGAGGTCAGGAAGAGCCACAGAGCTCATATCCACATCCAAAACTTTGTCCCAGTATGACCTGGCCTCCAAACGGGGCCCCAGCATTCTCCTGGAGAGCTCTGGTGGTGTGGGACAGAAGCAAAACACATTCTCCTGGAGAGCTCTGGTGGTGTGGGACAGAAGCAAAACACATTCTCCTGGAGAGCTCTGGTGGTGTGGGACAGAAGCAAAACACATTCTCCTGGAGAGCTCTGGTGGTGTGGGACACAAGCAAAAGCCTTACTTAGATGGTGAGTCTGGTACTTGCACCAGTGCCCTGGCCCAGTTCAAGTTACTGGTGTCACCATACTGTTCTGTAATGGAAACTGTAAGGCTGGTGGGAATGGAGGGTGAAGGGGAAATGTGGGAAGATGTGAGAAGGATGTGGGAACAGCAGAAAGAAGGGCAGGAGAAAGGGTGTCAGGAGCACCCAGGAGCAGGCCATGGAAGTCCAGGCACACTGACCAGGACAGTCTAAAACAGGGGACAGCCTAGAGCAAAGGGCAGGCTACACCCAGACTAGACTGAAGATTAGAGGCTGGAGGCTCTGGGAGATGATGGTGGGAAGATGAAGGACAGAACTGAGCCCATAAGACACCCAGATAAGGACACAAAAGGCTGAGTAAGTCCTGATGACTTGACAAGGTAGGACACGATGGAGTGACAAAAGGTCACAGGCGCTGTCACCTGCTAAAAGTTATGAAGAGTTTATCCAAACTTGAGCCCAGGAGGTGAGATGAGGACTCTGTAAATTGGTGCCCTTGTCCTGCCTGTCCCTACAAGATATCTCAGCCAAACCACCTGGATTAATATTTCTTGGTGCTTGTAAATGGGCAGGAATGAGGCAGGGCAGAGAAATTGGTTTGGGACCCTCCTGTATGGTCTTGCACAGAGTTCTGCTGCAGTGTTGCAATGCTGATTGCTCCACAGCCATACAGGCCAGTCAGGCCCTATATGTGCCCTGTGAATTCAGGGAGATTATCAGCCAGCCCTGCAGCCAGCTGGGTGTCTCATTAAGTCACACAGGAGCTGGGTGACTCACAGCAGCATCTGCAACGCTGAGTAAACAGCTGGATGTGTCTGGTTCTCCAATACACAGTGTGTTATTAGCCTGGGCTCCTCACAGTGATGGTACAGATGTGGTCAAGCTGTTGATTCATCAGCCATCCCTTCATTTTCTGTTTTAATCTGATGGTCACTGTCAGACTGCTCTGACAGGTCAGAGGTTCAAAAGACATTGTGTTCCCAAAGACTTGTTCTGGAATGTAGGTGAGCAAAGGGAAGACAAAAAGCCCACCCTGGCTTCCACCAAGAAAAACTCAGTGGTAGGACCTCAGTCCTAATGAGACATCAGAGAATCCACAAGGATGCTCCCCCCCATTTGAATTTCCTCACCTCTTGCCTTGTTGTCCCAGGAGCCTTACAATGTGGAGAGGATCCTCTGGCTGCTCTCAGGCTGTGACGGCCGCCTGATAAAAACTCTGATGGAGCAATTCAACATCTCAAAAAGGCTGAAGCTGCCAGAGGATTTGCACAGAAAGGTCAGTTCCTCACCCATACAACACTGTGCCTCTGTGTGTAAGATTATTGCTACCAGGTATTTTCAATTCATTTTCAGAATAAAAAAAATCATAATGGAGAATATGCAACCAAAAGTTTAAGCATGACTCCAGAACAGTTTTATATCAATGTGTGTGCATGGAGATACTAAACCCCCCCTTTTATTTTTTTTTTTTAGAATGCTCTCCTTCACAGAAGTAACTTAAAATTACCTGCAGTTATTTAGGTAGCATATGAAATTGGCCTATCCTTGGCCATGCACTGAGGCATTGTACAGTGGATGCTGGCACAAATTGGGTGTTTGGGAGTGGGTCTGCTGAGTTTGGTGCAATTCAGCCTTGCTGTTACAGCAAAGGGGAGCACAAACACAAAGCAGAGAGAGGTACAAGAGAAAACAAAAGATGTGAGTTGTAAGAGGGCCAGGTACAAAATCCTGCCTTTTCCTGTCCAATTTCTGATGTGTTCTCCCTCATAGAGCAGCCTTTGCCCAGTGCCCACTCCTGCTTGTGCTGCAGAAAGATAAATATAAAACAATGTTATTATTAAAAGCAAAAAGAACTGTTACACTGAGGTGGATTTTACAAGTCCTCAGAAACTCCCTCAGAGCATGGAAATAGCAGTGCAGAGGTGAGGAGCTGAGCCCTGGCTCCTGCCCACCCACTCTCACAGCACCTGTGGATGGAGACCCCTTGCCCACACTCCATCCCTGTGGTTTATTCCAGCAGTGCTTCATCCCCAAGCTGCAGCAGCAACCCCTTTTCCTTCAGTCTCTGGGGGAACCCATCCTCCAGCCTCTCTATTTCCACCTGCTCTAAAGCCAGCTGGGTGGTGGTGCCCTGTGTGACCCTCCCTGTTTCCCCACAGCTCTCTGAGAGCCTGGGATCGTGCTCAGCCTCTGACCAGGACATCGTGGGAGCCATGCGGCGCTGCTGGGAGGAGAACCAGTACCTGCTGTGCCCCCACTCTGCCGTGGCTGCTCACTACCACTACTCACAGCCACACAGGTAGGGACAGCCATGGTCAGGAGCATTAGGGACTGGACCATCACTATCCCTTGCTCCTGCAGCATCTCCAGCCCCAGCTCACTTGCACCATAAGTTTTCTTTGCTTGTCTTTCCTTTCCAGCATCCCCCGGTGTTGTTTGGCTCCAGCCTCTGCAGCCAAATTTCAGGATGCCCTTCTCCGAGCTGGCCTGGCTCCCCAGATCCCCCCTGAAATCTCTGCCCTGACAGCCATGGAGACCAGGTCCACTCCCCTGGAGCGGGGGCAGGACTGGGCACAGGTGCTCCGGGGCCGGATTGAAGCTGTGGCACAGCAGTGGGAGGCACAGGCGGGTCACTCTGCCCCCCAGGGCAGGTAGTCACACAGATATCACCACTGGGCTCATTCTCCACTCCCAGAAAAGCCCTGTCTTATTCTGGGAGTCTCCATGCAATGATGTATTAGCAAGAATTCACTTCCCTGTCTAATTGGACTATCTCATAACATTTTCAGTGAAGAGTTCAATTATATGGACAATTCGATAACATTTTCAGTAAAGAGCACTGCAATTGTATCCCTTTTTCCTAATAAATCATAAAACCTGATTAAAACTCTGAGTAAACCTGGCTGTTCCATCATTACTGGCTGTTACAGAAAGCTGTCATAGCACTACCCACAGCTGCCTGCTCCTTGAGCATTATCCAGTGATCCAGTGATTGCTGGGATGTTCATCCCAGCAATCCCAATAGCACCAAAGATGCTCAATAGGAAACATACAAGAGTGGAGTGGATCCACTTTACCCATCCCTGTAGTTTAAGTAGTGCCAGGGATTGTGTCCAGGCATTGAAATTTGCTCTGCGATAGTGTTAGATAGCAGATGTTTTCCCTGGACAAGTTTCTCTTAAAGAGCTATTTTCCAGTGCTGTATCTCACAGCTTTTGGCCCTAGTCCTCCTTCAGACTCTTTCCAGGCAACTTCCACTGTAACAAGTAGGAAATGGGAAATTCCCTTTATCTTCTGCCTGAAACTTCAGGTCTTTCAATACCATGTTCTCATCATATACATATAAATACATAAATACCTTGTGTGGGAGCTGCCTCCACAAGTCATGCATCTGGCAGGAATCTCTTGTGCCTAAAAAAGAGGGAAGAAAAATAGGAATAATTATACCAGGGGGGAAAAATCCCCCTTTGCCATCAAAAAAAAAAAAATCCCCCTTTGACATCAAAGGAAGTCCTGTAATGGGAGGATTAATTTGAAGGTTTAGTGGCATTTAACAGGGTAAAAGTAAATTCTGTGAAGTGATTCAGCTTGGGATGTTGCAGAATGTGCGGGAAGAGTGGGAAGCTTGGCCTGGGCTGCAGGCTGCCTTGCTGGCACCCAGGCAGCCTTTTCCTTGGCTCCCTGTGGCACAGCTGGCTCTGTGCCACCTCCTTCCATCCCACCGAAACCCTGCAGGAGAGGAGGGACCTGTGCCTCCTCCAGGGTGGGGGCTGAGGCTGCCCCATCCCAATTAACGGGGATGAGGGAAACAGCTTAGCTGAGAGTGATGTAAAAACCACACAGCACTTGGATGTTTTTGATGCTAGCAGCTCTACTTGCAGGGATTGAGCAGCTGGGAGGTGGGGTCCAGGAGTGATGTTTCATGAGGCCATCATTCACTCTTCTTTAAGAGCCAAACCAGCAAAATACCTCTTCTTTAAGCAGCACCTTCATCCTCACAAATAACCCTTCCCCAAATCATGGCTTTGCACTGGAGGTGGTGCAGGACATCTCTGGGGGTGGCAGTAAGAAACTTCCTGATCCATTTTGACCCCCATCCAGTTTCCCCTTTCATTGATGCAGGTGTTATATTCATTGGACTTCACTGCCCTTAACAGCTGCCTCCCCAAATCTTGTGGTTCTCAGCCGGGCCCAGTTACAATTTAGCCCTTAATCATATCTCAAGACACCCTGTGAGAGGGGAGAGACCCAAAATTGCACCCAGTTCTGCAGTTGGTTGCAAACCTGGCTGGCAAGACCCCAACCCCTCACTGGGGAGCACTGGGAAGGATGGGGTGAGTGGGGCTGGACTTGCAGCCTGCCAAAATCCTGGTGTGTTTTGCAAGCAGAAAGCGTGACAAATGCATTCCATGCTCCCATCCCAGTGCCCTCAAGCAGTAGGATGAGTAAAGGGTCCAGCCTCATTGCAGGGGGAAAAGGAGTTTAATTCTCAACCATCCCTGAGCATACCTTATGGGGTGAGGATGCTGCATCTCCCCCAGCCCAAATCAGACCTTTTTTTAGGGCAGGACACTATGAAACCCTCTCTGAGATCTCTGGAGCAGAGGAACAGCAGGAAAAGCCTGTTCCATGCCTGGAGCCAAGGCAGAGGGAGCAGGACAGGCTTGGCTTGCAGAGGGGCTGTGCTCCCAGAGAGGGCAGTGCACAGCCATGTGTGCCAGCCCGGTGCCTGGGATGTGGGAGTGAACCTGGCCCCTGGGTGTGCTTTGTGCCACCACCTGCCCAGGGACCATGGCATCCATGGCCACTCTCACACTGGAGTTCCCACTCTGTCCCCAGAACTGGTGCTTGGGGCTCTGCCTGCTCATCCTTGGGTCTCTGTCTGAGAGGGAAGGTTTGATGGAAAGATGGAAAATGGAGGGAGGAAATTCACACAAAAAGTGGCACCTCCTCACCCAGCACTGATGGGTGGCTGCAGGCTCTGGCAGCTTCACATTTTCCTGGGGTTAATGGTATTTCAGTCCTGCACCTTCCAGAGCTGATCACAAACCCAGGACAGGCTTGTCAAATAATTGATCTCATACAGCAACTGCTGTTGCTTTTCTCCAGCAAAAATTCCAGTTTTGGGTCCCTGACCCCAGGCCTGTCTGACAGGTGACCCAGGAGATAGTGATGCCCACAAACTGGTGACCACACTCCATGGGGACACTAAGGGACATGGCTGGGACATGTTCCCAACTCCTACCTCAAGGAGAAAATAATGTCTTATAATGGAGATGGAATGTGTTGAGCTAGAGGAACAGGGTCATAGCTCAGCTGGGGTTTCTCCTCAATAACTCACATGTACCAAAGCAACTTGCTGTCCTGCTCACCTGTAGTTGGTGTGTCCAGCAAGGGATTGGGGCCCCTGTCCTGGTGTGGTTTGGGATCTGTTGGACTGCAGGTGGGGTCTGCCCTCTAATCCATCTGCCTGTGTGCTTCTTGGGGGCTTCATCTGCCAGCAGAGCCGTGCTGTGGTTCAACACTCCAGTCATTAAGAGTTCCTTTAAGAGATCTATTCTCTAAAGGGGGACATGGGATAACTGGCTGACTGCTGCTCTGCCTGAAATAAAATTGAGAGGAATATAAAATCCCAAAGAAGCTGTGGGTGAGGAGTCTCTTTCCCACAAGCAGAGCAGTGCAGCCTTCCCCTGAGCTTTGTCACAATGTCCATCCCCATCTTCCAGCTCGTGGCCACCCAATGAATTGATCTTTGGGCAGTTACCCCACTGACTGGGCTGTCACGTCCTTCTACTCCTGTTATGAGCTGGGAGGAGCTCACAAGGTGGTGAATTATAAGCCAATGCTTTAAAACAGTGTTCTGAAGGTTTGGGAGCTGAATTATTATTTATAATGCCCTGGGGCCCCCATGTAATTTATGGACAGGTATGAAGACAAGTAGGCGCTCAGACATGGGGATGAGCCCGGTGTAAATGCTGAGATAGAAGGATAGATAGATGGATGGATGAAGATAAGCTTCTTGGCCAAGAGAGCTGGAGACTGAAAAACTGGAGATGGAGAAGGCTGCTCAGACATCTCTGCTCTCCTAGGGTGATACCTACATTCCCACTACTCTCACTCTGTAAAATGTCATCTCAAACGTGGTGCAAACCATTTGTTTACTCTTATTTTTTTGAATTTATCCAAAGTGCAAGGAAAAAAAAGTAAAAAGGAATTGCTTTGTTGTTGCAATTTGCTGCTAGGCATTCCTATGTGTGCTAATGATAAGTATTAATTAAATAGCTTTCTGTTGTCTTTTAAATGCAGTTCTTTCAGGCTGTAATTAAAAACAGACACCCAGCCCTTTCTGTCTGCATAGGAAAAGGCAAGTAGGCCTCTGGAGCTCTGCACTTCTTTCCTTGTAACAAGAGAGAAGTGGAAAATGAGGCAAAACCAGTTTCCATTGAAAACTCACTACCCTGTGCATGTCCTTCACAGGGAAGGCAACCAGCCCAAGGAAATTAAAGGAATGTGACTTCCAAGATCTCAGCCCTGCAATCAAATTAAGTTTATTTGCCCTTAAGATCTCTCAGCTTCATACATTTGAAAGGCAGAGGAGATCACTTTGTTTGATCTCTGGGCTACACAGGCTGCTGAATATCCTCCTGATGCATTCATCATGCCCAGAAGAAACTCATTGCCTTATGAACATGTTGATCTGAGTAGCTGGAGATAGGATGCCATGCCTCTCTCTCTCCATGCCTACTTGTTTCTTGCTTTCCCCGGTATTTTTCACTCTTGCTGTGAAAAACCAGACACTGCTGTAAATCCCCATCCCTGTGCTGCTCCTCTGGTCATTATTAATCTCCCAAATCAGGGTGTGCTGCTCAGGGAAACTGGAGCTCCCCCCAGCCCTGCTGCCCTCTTTTTTTGCCATCTTAAAATACACTAAAGCCCTCTAGAAATGCAAATAAAATGTCAGACACTCACATGATGGAAGGCAACCACCAAATAAAATTTCCCATTTGACCACAACACTGAATGACACCTAAGCCCAAATTTTTTCTGCCCTTAAAAGCAACTGGGCTTGACTTATCTAAAATACTGCTGTAAATCAATAAATACATGGAAAGACAATGACTGTCTGCTGTGCAGCTTATGAGAGTGGTGGGGGAAGATGCAGCTCACTCAGGGGATGCCTTGGTCAGAGATGGCCCATGAGGGAAAGTTTCTGTGTTCAACAGCTGCATATATTTTTTTTTTGTTTTGTTTGTTTGTGAATGGAAACATTTAATGATGCATTTGAGTAATTTATGACTTGAGATGTGTAGAATTTGTGTAATAAATAGACAGAGGATATAAGACAGACATTGCCTGTGAGGGGATCCTCGATTTGGGCAGTGCAGCACTTTGGTCACCAAGAGGCTCCTCTGCCTTGATAGCTCCTGACACAGTTCATAAACAGCCACGGCCCTTTTGGGGTCCTGTCAAGGCTGGATTTGCTATGGGTTTTTCTGTCTCATTCAGCCCCATGGCTGTCTTGTGATTTTGCTGCAGGTGGACAGGTATCCACAGAGAATTGGGAACACAAGAAGGGGTCTGGGACACTCTGAGACCCTTCCCTGGTGAGGGGAGCATGGGGCTGGGAGCATCTTGGGGGCTGTTGGTGGCAGCAGCAACAGAAGTGGCTCAGAAG